TACTTATGAATGGAGATTACTCACAGCAAACTGTATTTTATAAATTTAATAAACCGAAATTGAATAAATATTGATCGTTAACTTTTCCCATACTATCGTTTATATTTATATTTTTTTATTGTCGCCTATAAAGAAATCCGACTCGTTGCTTCCTTATCATAGAATCCGAGCCTATAATCAACTCAGAAACGTTTTTATGATATTTGTGATTATTTTATGTAATTATAGAAATTCCTCATATTAATTTAAAATAAGACAATTTAAAATTATTAGAAAATGTTACGAATTTCTTCTTTTTTATAATATTCTCTTCTTATTTATGCTATTTCTTGTATCTTATCAAAATAAATATTATGTCTCAATGTGTATAAAACTACTCGTGTAGCAGTTTAAGTATTTTAATCCTTTGGTCGAATAATATGCAAAATGTAAACAGCTAAAAATCTTTAAATATTTATATTGATGATTTTTAAATCTCACATTTGTCACAAATTTGTCATATTTATCATGAATTAAAATGGGAAACATGGTTTCATTATTATTTTGATTATTTAATAATATAGCAATTTTTTGTAGCTTGTCTAACACTTTTTTTCGAGTTTCATGTTTATACGAGATACCACTATAACAATCCATTGATTTTGAGTCATCTCAAAATGTGTATGTAGAAATCATATAACATGTTTGATGTTAATGCCAAAAAAAGAAATCCAGATATAACAACTTTTGTCATGTTTCTCAAGTGTATCTTATAACTAAACTGTAAGTAATTTTAGTAATGTTTTTGTTGTTTAATGGCCGTTGATAGTTGACCTCATGGTAACTTTGAATATTTTTGTTAACAGCTTTTTGCCTGTCGAAGAAACATTAAAGTTTCGAAATATTGCAAAGAAAAATTTTGCCTAATAAAATAATAAACCCCACCGTAGTCTACAGTTTTTGCGATCAAAAACTCTGCCAAGCGTTTTATTGACAAATTCGACAAATCATTCGTTGGTATTTTGATATCTATGTGTTACCATAAGATTTCATTGGAAAAACTTTGTTGGAGTGAACAGAAAGACTTAGGGATGTACTAAATCATTACTTCAATAATTCAAAGCTAAAAGCTGTTTTTGATCATCATAATTTGACGTAGCTAACCGGTTAGATTTAGTTATATGTTTTGAGTTCTTTGTAACAATAAAGATTATTGGTTCAAATTTAACCTGTATACAGGCAAAGAGAATGCAATAAATGATTTAGTAATCTAGTACATACAAACGCTTGTGCTACATCTAGAAACAATCCCTGCGTTATCTAGATGAACACAGAATAAAGTAACCTCTCTCAAACTGTGTAAAAAGCAATGTTATCGTTTGTTATCTTATTTTGTAAAATAACTTCAGAAATAAATTGCTGTGCTATATTTTTGTATAACCGAGCACAGAAGTTAAATTATGACTACTTTCTTAATAATTTAAACAATAAGTCTCAATGTCTATTTTATAGAATGAGTCAAAACTTCTAATCAATAAAGAAAAATGTTCTTTAGCACTGTATATTAAGATATTAATGAATCTAAATGCCAAATCTATTAGGCAAATGTACCATATCATCCAAGAAACGTGAGCATGTTCTGGAACTCTATCGTTAGACTCTATGGGGCATGTGGAAAATCGCTGGAAGTGAAATAATAGATTCGAGTTAGTCTTAACTAGAAGAGGTGTTCTTAAAGGATGTAATGTTTTCTTTTAATACATTTTTGAATCATTGAATGTGCGGTTTCCCGAATATTTTGAAGATAGTAGGCAAAAACTTAGGTTGGTAAAAAGAGACACTTCAGCCTTTTTTAAAATTTGAAAATTTTTGTCACAGTGATGGTCGGATTGGTCGTGATGTGTCTACCTTTGCGCATAATGCGCCAAAAACTGAAAATTTTGTCCACACATGAAATATGTCCTCGGCCCCAAACTTTTTTAATACGTTAAATACGTTCTGGCAATAATAGCAACGTAATACTCAATATGTTTAAAGAGAGAAAACTAAGTAAAATTTAGCAAATCATAAAACCAAGTTAAATAGGACTTCATGACACCTTTTCTTCCTACTGTAAGCTATTTCAGATGGTTAGCCTATGATATATTTGCTTTTTGTTCTTGTATATTTTGGACAAACAAGATTGAATGTTAGAAGCCAGTCCCTTCTAGTTCTCGACCAATTTGCGCTATACGATCATTTTGAGTCTTTCGATCATTTTCTTTCTTCTGTTGTTTGCTTTTTCCACTAAATCTACTGCTTCAACATCTCTTCTCAAGTCGCTATTCTAATCATCACTCTTCTAATCATTATATTTTGTGTTTTGATGATATTATCTTTCGCTTTTGCTTTCGCCTCTTCTCCGTACGAACACATAGGAGTAAAGATTGTCCTCAATAACTTTACTCTATTTTTCATGCTGAGTTAACTTTCCGGTTTTGTTATTCTGTAAATTTTCCTCAATTTTCCTATGGCCATAACTTTCCTTCTTTTTCGACATCTGAAAGAAGCATTACAGATACTTGCGATCGACATTATTAATGGACTGAATCCAAAAAAATCGTTCGGATAGGTCCTATTATTGATGAGTAAGCCTAAATAAGCGAAAATAATAAGATCGTGGTGTTTGAATTTTACACAGCTTTTGAACTTAATAAAACGTCAATGGAGAATCAGAATTAGTTATTGGATTCATGTTCTGTTATTATTCTGTTACTTCCTTTGTTCACTCCGGGGAACATATAGTTGTGAGATGTCCATGATCGAGGAGTGGTCAGCATTTACTTTTATAAATCTGTGTCGCTGATTTTACAGAAATACCCCTGTCTTTGTAGGTCAATGATCTAAACTGTTTTGCTCGTCTTGTTATCTCTGTTTGTATTTTTTTGTAGTGAGCTTTGAATTTTAATTTGTTGTCCAAGGTTATGCCCAAATATTTTACCAACTTTGTAGGTTTTGTAGTTGATGTGCCTGTCGTGATGTGTTGGTATTGATCGGTGATTCTGTAGTGTGGCATCAATAGTTGGAATTTTTCCGGATTGGGGGTGACTCTTCATGTCAAGGTAGGTGAGATTGGGGATCCTTGAGGTACTCCTTGGAGAGGGAAGAAATTATTATTAATTTTCACGCATTATTAATTTTGATGCTTAGTGTCCTGTCGCGAAGATATTCATCTATAATTTTCAGGCAGGGTGTAGGTATTCCTAACTTGTTCATATTGTATAGAAGGCCCTGGTGCAGATTTTATTTATGTCAAGAAATAAGATAGCAGTTTTTCGGTGATGTAGGTTCGTTACTTGATATGTTATTTGTTTGTGAGAATAATGAGTGGATGAATTCTTGATTGTTTCTGTATGAAGCCGAATTGGTATATAGGGATTTTGTCTATGATAAGGTGAAGAATTCTGGAGTTAAGGATACTTTCGTAGATTTTTCCAATTACAGACAGTAGGGTGATAGGGCGGTAGCTTTGTGGAAGAGAATGGTTTGCTCCAGGTTTGGGAATTGTTATAATTGTAGCTTTTTTCCATGTTGATGGGAATATAAGGTTTTGCATGCAGAAATTGAAAATTTTATGCATTAAGTTATGTACTTATAGGTTTAGTTGTCTCAGTAGTTTTTTGGTTATTCTTCTTGAGTTAAGTATTCTGCTATGCTCGTGGGTTGGCATAGTTAGAAATCTTGTGTACCATTCGTTAATATATTCTTGGTGATGATTGTCGTAATCGTGGTTTGGTTTGGGGGTGAACGCACTTTGAAAGTGTTGGGCAAGTATATCGCATTTCTGTTGATCTGTTCTATATTCTATCTTATTGTATGTTATTGTCGGAATGTCGCTGGTTTTCTTGTATTTTTTCACTTTTTTGATTTTCTGCCAATATGTTCTGCTGCGATCCGTTTCTATTTCTTTGCATGTTTCTAACTAACGATCCAGTTGGAATTTTTGGATTAATTTTAGTTCATTTTTTAATATTCTGTTGTTTGTTCGTTTATATTCTCTCTATGTTCGTCTCTTGTTGTGAATTATTTCGAGTATGTATATAGAGAGTATCTTGTTTTTGTGAAAATCTTGTATTAAGTTCTCGTTCATTTGTGTTGTTCTGCATTTGTTTATAAAGGTTGTCAAGTCTTCATTTACTTTTTGCATGTTGGTTCTGGTTAGGTTATATTTTGACCTTTCGGTAATTATTTATATTTAAACACTATTGATCAGAATAAGATTTCAAAAAAACATATTTTTTAACATTTGATCAAGATCATTATTATCAGTTATTAAGATAAAATAATTGAATTGAATGGATTAATTTGATTCCTTATTTTGATTTTTTAGCAATATTGTATCTCAGCTTAACGACATGTGAGTATTTAACAAAATAAAAAAAATTAATGATCATAATTAGATACCACAAGTCTGGAGTATCCTGCAGCCAGGATATTGTCAGGATATATCTAGACCAATGGAGGGCTCATAGGCGGAGTTTAAACAATCGATGGAGAACGAGTGGGGAGCTCATGGCGCCAGCAACAAGTGGCAAGAAGTCCAGGAGAAGAGCTTTTCTTAGGCGAGCTTAAGACACAATTTTTTTTCTTCACAAAAAATAATTTTTTTCTTTTAATACCAAATAATTAAATTCAAAAATAAAAATGATATCTAATTATTGAAAAATTTTGATAATTAAAGTTTTTGTAATCAATTTTATTTATTGGCAAAATTAAAATTATGGTTTCCATAAATAAAGTATTATTTTTTTTTTAAGTAAATTCCATAAGAGTGCAAAGTAACGCAAAGTAATGAAAGAGGAAGAGAGAGAAGAGAATTAAATGGGTACAAGAATGCCGGGTACCTCTCGGCGTACCGCTTTCCGATTTGTTCATAACTGTAACAGCCGCGCATTTCTCCCGCCCTTTATGGTGGTGGGAACCCTAAATCACGCAAGGAAGAAGAGCCCAATATCCCGCGGCACGACGCCAGTTCATCTCAATCGCAACTTCGAACTAGAACGACACACACACAACGCACGCTTTCATATTTATTATTATTATTCACCGGTATTCAAAAATTAACCCAACATCATCATCATCATCATCATCATTGAGTGTTGTTATAGTTGTTATTATAACAGTTATTAACACGTTTCCAATTCAAATCAAAGAACATAATATTTTGAAACATACGTGTTTTTTGTTGCATAATTAACTTTGAATGAACACCATCAGTGAGATTTTTTGTCATTGATTTTGTACGAAAAAGGAATTTTTTTCATCACCAACCTGGATCGTGAAGCGATGTCTTCACCGAAACCAATGGGCAGTAGCCATGAGCACATTAAGAGGCCCATGAACGCTTTTATGGTGTGGTCAAGAGGTCAACGGAGGAAGATGGCACAAGAAAATCCGAAAATGCACAATTCAGAAATTTCAAAACGTCTTGGTGCCGAGTGGAAACTTTTGAGTGAATCTGAAAAAAGACCATTTATTGATGAAGCAAAAAGATTAAGGTATGTAATTTATTTTTTTTTTATTATTAAAAAAGTAAAATAATTTTTCTTTTTTAATTTTATATAATGCGAATAATGTTTTCGATTGTTCATAACAATCCATTAAAAAAATTGAGTCAATAACAGGAACAAATAATAGAATTGAACGTACAAAGCTGGCTTTTGTTGATTTTAAAAGGAAGTAATAATGAATAATTGTTTAAAATAGTATGATTAATAATATTTTACTTTACCAAAAAGCTTTTTGTTTAAAAACTTAAACAATCTAAGTCAATGATTATGTTATTTATTTAATTATTATAATTGTAAATACAATTGATAAGAAAATTTATATAAACTTATTATGACACGGTTCTATAAATGAATATATTAAAGCAAATTATAGTAAAACCTCGATATAACGAACCTCGTTAGAAGGTAACACTAGCATTAGAACTAACACTATACCTAGAATTAGAAACATGCGAGTTTAGCCGTCTTACGAGACGTTCGGCTAAACTCGAATGTTTCTAGTTCTAGGTCTAGTGTTAGTTCCAATGTTAGTGTTAGTTCTTGTTTTAGTTGTTATTCTGCGTTAGATTGTTGCCTATTTTTGTTGCCCTAAAAGTAGAAGTGTTAGTTCTAATGCTAGTGTTACTTCTTGTATTGGTTGTTAGTTTTCTTTCCTTGAACTAAAACTAGAACTAACACAAGACCTAGAATTAGAAACATTCGGATTTAGCCGCACGTCTTTCAAGACCTCCAAACCAGAATAATTCTAGTTCTAGGTCTCGTGGTAGTTCTGGTGCTAGTGTAAAACTAGAACTAACACTAGACCTAGGACTAAAAACATTCGGGTTTATGATTTTTCAAATCTAAATCTGCACGTTTAATTATTATAGATTTTAAGAACAGAAACTAAAAGAATCGTAACTCAAGAACCAACTGAGATATAATGATGAAATAAAGAACATTTTGAAGCACATTTAATACAGATTTAGTGTACCATAAATAATGTCTTATTTTCCACGAACCTCGTTGTTATGATTTTTTAAACTCAACTCTGTACCTTTATTTAATTGTTAAAAGCAGAAATTTAAACAGTTGTATCTCAAAAACGAATTAAGATATCATGATGAAATAACAATCATTTTAAAGCAAAATTAATAGAGATTTCGTGTGCCATAAACAATTCTTTATCTTCCATAAACTTCATTGTTATGATTTTTCAAACCCAAATCTGCACGTTTAATTATTATAGATTTTAAGAACAGAAACTAAAAGAATCATACCTCAAGCACCAATTGAGATATAATGATGAAATAAAGAACATTTTGAAGCATATTTAATACAGATTTAGTGTACCATAAATAATTTCTTATTTTCCATAAACTTCGTTGTTATGACTTTTTAAACTCAACTCTGTACCTTTATTTAATTGTTAAAAACAGAAATTTAAACAGTTGTATCTCAAGAACGAATTGAGATATCATGATGAAATAACTAACATTTTAATGCAAAATTAATAGATATTTGGTGTGCTATAAATAATATCTTATTTTCTATAATAGACCTAACACAAGACCTATAATTAGAAACATTCGGATTTAGCCGTCTTAAGAGACGCATAGCTAAACTTGATCGAGATGTTTATTTTATATTATGAACCTTTAGTCTCAAACTAACAACATTACAAAACACGAATAGAATAACTTAAGCATTAGCTAATTCAAAGTGTGGTATAGTAGTTGCTTACTTATACGTGACGTCACGAACGGTCCTTCGAGCTGTGCACCTGTTATATGAAGCTTTTACTGTATAAATGTAGTTCTTATTATCTTATTAAACAATTTCTATATAAATAATAAACATTCCTTATTGTTTATATTTTCCACAAACATTATCCTCGTCACCACATTGCAAAAAGCAAAAAAAAAGTACCACTCATCTCAATAAACACAGATTTAGAGTGATTCAGTTACAAAGCAGGTCGTCTGTTTTACAAAAGATAACAGGGTAGTCGAGGAGGGTTGGCGCTTAAACGGCGGGGTGCTATTAAAAAGCTCCCACCGCGAACCGACGACGACGCCACTTTCGCCCTTCGCCTACGCCCAAGGATTACCCGAGGCATATTAATAAAGTCATAACGGCGTATTAAGGACTGCACTTTGTCAGGATTATGTTTGAACAATGCCCGCTGTGTTATAAGGGAGAGATTATTATCTAATAATAATAGAATGATAATTAATTTATTTGTTTTGATTTTTGTATTAATTTTGAGAAGATAAATTTAAGACGTTAAGGAGTCAATTGAGAAAACGAATGGCGCCAGACTCTTTTACCTCTCACAAAAAAAAGTTTGTTCACAATTAGATAACGCGCGGCGACAATAAATAGAAGAAAGAAACCGTCACGGTATACGGCACACACACCTTCAACAGTTCACAAACACCCTGATCAAATTAGAATGGATCTTATATCGCAAAGACAACATGACGGGATAACTCTGAAGGCTCCTCTTGTGGACTCCACACAATTCAAACGCTAACACGGAAACGTATTATCGCCATTGTACCTCCGCGATAACAATGTTTTTATTTACTCAGGTTTACCTAATCGTCGTCGTACTTTACGGGGTTGTATATGTACATAGGTTATCGGTCTCTGTCCGAGATGTACCTTAAATAGTTAACAATATAAAAAAAGTTTTGTTTGTTTTTACTTTGTTTGAAATTGTAGAGGAAAAGTAAGAAAAAAAATGATAGGGTTTAAAAATGATTTTTAGAGAAACGTTTGTGTCCGGCGAAACGTCAGCCATATCGGCTTTTCATCCTTTGAATGCCGATACTCGACGTCCAATAGCTTTCCAACGTTTTCAGCAGCACAGGGTTGACTTTTGTGCCTGCCCTTCCTGCTACTATTCTATCGAATGCCTACGGCTATTGTGGTCTCGCCTTTCGACCTTTATTTGCTCGCGATATGACACTTTTATTACTTTTGTGTGGACCACACATCGTACTCAGAGTGTTACAAAAAAAATATATTCAACTTTCAAAGAGTTATATTTGTTGAATTATACTAGGTGATTTATAACTTATATTTTGTACTTATGTACTTATATTACTTATAAGTATATTTAATTTATCTAAACTAATTGCAGGGGTTCCCCGATTTTCGGTTCCCCCGAACATTTATTGCGATACAGTATAGCTGTAAGTAAGAGACAGATTTATAAAAAAAACTGAATTAATTCGCAGAATTCACATTAAAAAATCATAACTATGATACATTAAATTTGCTTTAAAATGTTCTTTATTTCATCATTATATTTCAACTACTTCTTGAGATACGACGGTTTAAATTTACGTTCTTAAAATCTGTAANATGATTTTTTAAACCCAAATCTGCACATTAAATTATTATTGATTTTAAAAACAGAAACTAAAAGAATTATACCTCAAGAACCAACTGAGATATAATGATGAAATAAAGCACATTTTGAAGCATATTTAATACAGATTTAGTGTATCATAAATAATTTCTTATTTTCCATAAACCTCGGTGGTATGATTTTTTAGACTCAACTCTGTACGTTTATTTAATTGTTAAAAACAGAAATTTAAACAGTTGTATCTCAAGAACGAATTGAGATATCATGATGAAATAACAATCATTTTAAAGCAAAATTAATAGAGATTTCGTGTGCCATAAACAATTCTTTATCTTCCATAAACTTCATTCTTATGATTTTTTAAACCCAAATCTGCACATTAAATTATGATTGATTTTAAGAACAGAAACTAAAAGAATCATACCTCAAGAACCAATTGAGATATAATGATGAAATAAAGAACATTTTGAAGCACATTTAATACAGATTTAGTGTACCATAAATAATTTCTTATTTTCCATAAACTTCGTTGTTATGACTTTTTAAACTCAACTCTGTACCTTTATTTAATTGTTAAAAACAGAAATTTAAACAGTTGTATCTCAAGAACGAATTGAGATATCATGATGAAATAACTAACATTTTAATGCAAAATTAATAAATATTTAGTGTGCTATAAATAATATCTTATTTTCTATAATAGACCTAACACAAGACCTATAATTAGAAACATTCGGATTTAGCCGTCTTAAGAGACGCATAGCTAAACTTGATCGAGATGTTTATTTTATATTATGAACCTTTAGTCTCAAACTAACAACATTACAAAACACGAATAGAATAACTTAAGCATTAGCTAATTCAAAGTGTGGTATAGTAGTTGCTTACTTATACGTGACGTCACGAACGGTCCTTCGAGCTGTGCACCTGTTATATGAAGCTTTTACTGTATAAATGTAGTTCTTATTATCTTATTAAACAATTTCTATATAAATAATAAACATTCCTTATTGTTTATATTTTCCACAAACATTATCCTCGTCACCACATTGCAAAAAGCAAAAAAAAAGTACCACTCATCTCAATAAACACAGATTTAGAGTGATTCAGTTACAAAGCAGGTCGTCTGTTTTACAAAAGATAACAGGGTAGGCGAGGAGGGTTGGCGCTTAAACGGCGGGGTGCTATTAAAAAGCTCCCACCGCGAACCGACGACGACGCCACTTTCGCCCTTCGCCTACGCCCAAGGATTACCCGAGGCATATTAATAAAGTCATAACGGCGTATTAAGGACTGCACTTTGTCAGGATTATGTTTGAACAATGCCCGCTGTGTTATAAGGGAGAGATTATTATCTAATAATAATAGAATGATAATTAATTTATTTGTTTTGATTTTTGTATTAATTTTGAGAAGATAAATTTAAGACGTTAAGGAGTCAATTGAGAAAACGAATGGCGCCAGACTCTTTTACCTCTCACAAAAAAAAGTTTGTTCACAATTAGATAACGCGCGGCGACAATAAATAGAAGAAAGAAACCGTCACGGTATACGGCACACACACCTTCAACAGTTCACAAACACCCTGATCAAATTAGAATGGATCTTATATCGCAAAGACAACATGACGGGATAACTCTGAAGGCTCCTCTTGTGGACTCCACACAATTCAAACGCTAACACGGAAACGTATTATCGCCATTGTACCTCCGCGATAACAATGTTTTTATTTACTCAGGTTTACCTAATCGTCGTCGTACTTTACGGGGTTGTATATGTACATAGGTTATCGGTCTCTGTCCGAGATGTACCTTAAATAGTTAACAATATAAAAAAAGTTTTGTTTGTTTTTACTTTGTTTGAAATTGTAGAGGAAAAGTAAGAAAAAAAATGATAGGGTTTAAAAATGATTTTTAGAGAAACGTTTGTGTCCGGCGAAACGTCAGCCATATCGGCTTTTCATCCTTTGAATGCCGATACTCGACGTCCAATAGCTTTCCAACGTTTTCAGCAGCACAGGGTTGACTTTTGTGCCTGCCCTTCCTGCTACTATTCTATCGAATGCCTACGGCTATTGTGGTCTCGCCTTTCGACCTTTATTTGCTCGCGATATGACACTTTTATTACTTTTGTGTGGACCACACATCGTACTCAGAGTGTTACAAAAAAAATATATTCAACTTTCAAAGAGTTATATTTGTTGAATTATACTAGGTGATTTATAACTTATATTTTGTACTTATGTACTTATATTACTTATAAGTATATTTAATTTATCTAAACTAATTGCAGGGGTTCCCCGATTTTCGGTTCCCCCGAACATTTATTGCGATACAGTATAGCTGTAAGTAAGAGACAGATTTATAAAAAAAACTGAATTAATTCGCAGAATTCACATTAAAAAATCATAAGTATGATACATTAAATTTGCTTTAAAATGTTCTTTATTTCATCATTATATTTCTACTACTTCTTGAGATACGACGGTTTAAATTTACGTTCTTAAAATCTGTAATGATTAAATGTGCAGAGTTGGGTTTATTTATGGCACACTAAATCTCTACTAATTTTGCTTTAAAATGTTTGCTATTTCATCATGATATCTCAATTCGTTCGTGAGATACAACGTTTTAAATTTCATTTTTAACAATTAAATAAAAATACAGATTCGAATTAAAAAAATCATAACAGCGAGGTTTATGGAAAATAAGATATTATTTATGGTACACTAAATCTGTATTAAATATGCTTCAAAATGTGCTTTATTTCGTCATTATATCTCAGTTGGTTCTTGAGTTACGATTCTTTTAGTTTTTGCTCTTAAAATCTATAATAATTCAATGTGCAAATTTGGGTTTGAAAAATCATAACAATGAAGATTATGGAAGATAAAGAATTATTTATGGAACACTAAATCTGTATTAATTTTGCTATAAAATGATTGCTATTTCATCATGATATCTCAATTCGTTCTTGAGATACAACTTTTTAAAGTTCTGTTTTTAACAATTATATAAAGGTGCAGAGTTGAGTCTAAAAAATCATAACAACGAGGTTTATGGAAAATAAGATATTATTTATGGTACACTAAATCTGTATTAAATATGCTTCAAAATGTGCTTTATTTCATCATTATATCTCAGTTGGTTCTTGAGTTACGATTCTTTTAGTTTCTGCTCTTAAAATCTGTAATAATGTAATGTGCAGATTTGGTTTAAAAAATCATAATAATGAAGATTATGGAAGATAAAGAATTATTTATGGCACACTGAATCTCTATTAATTTCGCTTTAAAATGTTAGTTATTTCATCATGATATCTCAATTCGTTCTTGAGATACAACTTTTTACATTTCCATTTTTAACAATTAAAGAAAGGTACAGAGTTGAGTTTAAAAAATCATAACAACGAGGTTTGTGGAAAATAAGACATTATTTATGGTACACTAAATCTGTATTAAATGTGCTTTAAAATGTTTTTTATTTTATCATTATATCTCAGTTGGTTCTTGAGTTACAATTCTTTTAGTTTTTGTTCTTAAAATCTATAATAATGAAACGTGCAGATTTGGGTTTGAAAAATCATAACAATGAAGTATATGGAAGATAAAAAATTATTTATGGCACACTTAATCTCAATTAATTTTTCTTTAAAATGTTTGTTATTTCATCATGATATCTCAATTCATTCTTGAGATACATCTTTTTGTAAATTTTTATTCTTAACAATTAAATAAAGGTAGAGTTGACTTTAAAAAATCATAACAATGAGGTTCATGGAAAATAAGATATTATTTATGGCACACTAAATCTGAATTAAATCTACATTAAAATGTTACTTATTTACTGTTTTACTGTTTACTGTGATGATATCTCGATTTGTTGTTAAGATATAATGTTTTAAATTACTATTTTCGAAATTTTTGATTTTAAAAAATGGGTTTAAACAATCATAACATCGATCTATATGAAAAATAAAACATTATTGATTCATTTAAACTTCATCAAATTTCCTTTAACGTGCATTTTATTTCATCATCTTATCTCAATTCATTCCTGAGATATGATGCTCAAAAATTTCGTCAAAAATCCATTTGTTTGAATATTGTTTTAATATTTTCAGGATTTGTGGAGTTGTTTTTCTATTTTATCATGATGAAATCGAATTTTGAAAATAGATGGTAGATATTTTGCTAATTTTGTCTGTTTTGTAAAAACATCATCTTGTTTTATGAATTTTATTAAGATCTGATCTTGGTGCTGAATTTCAAAATTTTATCTTATGACAGAAAAATGTGTGGTATAATAGTATGTGTAATTCAACAAATATTAGCTTTTTAAAATGATTTTAAAAATTCAGGTATCGAACGATTTTTTCTTTGAAATATTTAAATCGGAAAAATTTCATGGAATTCCTTGAGTACTCTAGAAATGAATGAAAATGTTACCGTGTTGATGGTAAATAAGATTAGGATTTCTTCTTATTTTATCATCCACGTTTCATTTTTTGTTGAGTTGAGAAACGGCGCCGATTCAAGAGTAGACTTTAAACAATTATTCACCCAGGAGATCTAATCATAATTTAAATACAACGTTATATAAGAATGGTGTAAATAATAAATGGGGTTATGAAATCGCTTAAAAAAAAAGAATTTTTTCCACAACATTTTTTTTACTGTTTGTTGATGGAATTGTATAAAAGTTTTCCGTTTCCCAATTGTAATTTAGCCACATGTACATTCTATAATTGTTCCGGGTGCACGGGATCCCCCATTCTGAATACTCCAATTGCTTCGACGGTTAGAACAATGGGAGGTGGCGCGTGAAAGGATGCATTGTCGTCTCGCAGGATTGGAGACGAGACACGGGCCCCTAGACAATCTCCTGCTGAATGGGATCACAGGAGGCGTTCAGCACGCCCTCACAATGGGGGCATTATCTTTTGTCGCCAACTGAATATGTTGGATAGATAGCATTGTACACTCTTCGTACACAGCTATTAAATTTGAATCAATTTGTTTACAATCGGACTGCTCCCGATGTACTCTCTCACTACTTACAACCCCTCCAATTCGATTCAAAATCAATAATCGTTATACATAAAAAAGTGTAATCAAAAAAATAATGATTCATATTATACAAAATATTGACTTAAAAAATGTTGTCGCGAAGGTTTATATAATATTTAACCAAGAAGTTATTATTTCTTTTTAAAATTTGTAAACACGATTTATATCAAATTAAAGCAAACAAGATAACCGATGCAATTTATTATTTACCATTAATAGATCTAATCGTAACCATGAAAATAACCTTCTAATCATATTTTTATTCTCCTTCTTTACAGAGCTCTCCACATGAAAGAACATCCCGATTACAAATATCGCCCAAGAAGGAAGCCGAAACCTTTAATGAAAAAAGAACCAAAATTTGGATTTTCAATATCTCCATTAATTTCGCCGACCAGTTTAGATTCGCAAACGATGGCGAGAAGTATGATGCCGCCAATATCAACTTCTTCATCAATCCCCCCACTTCTTCAAGACGATCTTAAAATCCCTCGAACTTTATTCCCTCCTTTACCTTATTTGTATCCGTTTAGACACCCAGAAGAATCAAAATTTGCAGCTGAATTGGCTTTGTTCTATAGTAACAATCATCTTTACCCGCCAAGTTTAAATTGGCCAATTAGTAACTTAGCTAATAGTGCTTGCAACATTTGCCCACCCGCTTTCCCAAGACGAACACCAAGCCCGGAAGCTATGAAAAGACCCGTTTGCGTTTTAATGAAAAACGAAGAATTCCGAAACGAAGCTCTTCCAGGTCATGTTATATGAAAACCACTTCCGGTTCTACCTGAAAGGTTGAACCTAGGCACGTGGTGGAACGACATAGCCACATTGGCTACCTCTTCAACCATCGTGAAAGATGATGCGAGTAGAGAAAGTCCTGTAAGAGATGTTAGAGACAGAGAAAGAGCGAGTAATGATGATATGTAAATTACTATTACATAAAAAATTATAAAAATCTTGTACATAGATGAATTCGTATTTACGTAGGAGAATAGGAGAATTTAGGAGATGGTGAAGAAAAAGTATAAATACAAGTATTGTGCAATCGATGTTTTCGTTCTTATACGTTACGATGTTGACTAAAATATGTTTGTAGATGTGATATACTGTTATCATTTTGTATCGATTTATTTTTAATTGTATAGATTGTAAATAGTTAAAGTTACTTATTAAAGATTTTTTTAATATAAACCGATTTTTTTTATTTAATTTATTTTTTTTTAATTACCCAAATAAATAATTTTTGATTTAATGAAAACAATTTCATTTCATATATAAATTGAAAATTCAAAAATTAATTAATAATTGGCAAAACTGAAAAGCAATTTATGTCCCGTACTTTTCCCTTTTTATCAATACAACAATACTGCGTGCAGTAATTGATGATTCGCTTATTTGTTTCATTTCCGTTCCGTTTAGTTTTGAAGGGTTATTAGGCCTCAGCGAACGTAATAAAGCTCGTATATTGAGCTTTGAGAACGAGCTAAAAATTAAAAAATAATCTCTAATAACGAATTAAGTGGCCTCTCGTGCCATAATCCGGGCGTAATTGCTTCTAATTATCTTATGCCTTTATTAGGTTTGGGGTCCGCGCCCGGGGTTAGGAGGCATATTAATTTTTGCTCCCTCTGGTTTATTCGTTTTAACCAGGCGAAAGATAAATTTATGATTTTTGTGCATTAAGTGCATAGGATCATGGCGCAATATCTCCACTGATAAATAAAATACAAACATTATTTATTACCCTCAATATTCAAAAGTATATCTAATTTAATGTAGTTATTATTTATTTAAGTGTAAGTGCTACTACCCACCGTATGGTTGGTGTTATAAATCTAAGTGATTTTTCGATTTCTAAAAACATTACAGTAAAACATCAGTATATTTAAATATAAATATTTGCACTGATTGTTATATATTTTTCATTGAATAAAACTGGAATAACACTAGACCTAGAACTAGAAAGTTTTCCAACCTGAATATTTATAGTTATAAAATGACCTGAAGATGCAGTGAGTTTGATCAGAGCTAAAAGAAGAGAATAGAGAGACCACGTGGATAGAATGACTACCCATCGGAAAGTCAAAATCGTCAAAAAATCCAGACCAAACAAAGAAATGCCTCCAATTAGATTGTATGAAAATTGGTCGTCAGCATCCCAAGAATGAGGTGTAGTTTGAACTGAAGAACAGGACCATGTCTTAAATAAAAACGAAGAAGAAGATGAAGAAGTCTGAACTAAAATGCCAGAATAATGCCTAAATCCAGAACATTATTAATGGCATCTTCAGTTGACAAAGTTTGCAGACATTTCTGGTATATAGATTTGAGTGAATTAAATTTAGACATCTTTGAAACGTTATATTACTTTGTAACATAGAGCAAAAAGCAGTGTAATAATGCCAGCTAGCATTGCAATAATCCAAGGAATTCTGCGTTTTACACCTATACCGAGTGAACACACAATAAATCTTAAGAATCAACTGCGAGTGTGGATACAGCAAGTTGTAAGTCACATTTTGGTTTTGTAATCACTTTTTCCAGGAAGATAACCACGCTATATGTTACATTTTGATTTTTTACTTACAAAATAAAACACTTTTTATCGTTCATCGAGGTTGTCTCAAGTTCTGAAACAACTTGTATCCAATTGATCTGGTTTCGTTTTCTCATGTTAAAAATGAAGTACCTATTGAATTGTACAAGAAATATATCTTTTTTATGTAGAATCTGGCAGAAACGTTGATGATGCTGCTAAACTATACTTGCAATGTGTTCTGAGGAAGGTGCGATCTAACATTCGTTTTATTGTACCTTCAAAGAGTTAACGCCGCAGAAATTGTTCAACCTAAAGAAATCGTGCTGTGTTTTTACAACAAGTTCTTCATGGCGCTTATTTCAAAAATCATTTAATATTTCATTGATCAGGTGAACAAATAGAAAAAAAATCAGAACTTCTTTAGTCAGGTATTGTTAATCGATCAACATGCACTGATAAAGTATAATAACCTCAAAATGACTTCATCCAGATAAATATTTGGTGAGGAATAATTAATGAACATCTCATTGGCCCTACATCATGGCACTGCCACATAAGTTCAGTAGTGTATGCAGTTAACTTAATCGTGATATTAATCTCTGGATTTGCAGAAATAGTCCAATCAATTGGTCTGCACCATCATCATATCTTGTTTATGTGGCGAAGTATTTTTCTCTGTGGGATACTTAATGAGATTACTAATTTTTAAGTATTTTTAGATGTAAACTTTGAATCTACAATAAAAACTGTTGTTCTGATTTATGATTTCATAACTGTCTCTGCTCCTCTCTTATAATCTGAGGTGGAAAACATTAAAATACAGCAAGTTGCAGGTAATTTGACTAAAAATGTGACATATTTTGATTTTGTAATCACCTTTTTCCAGGGAGATAACCACGCTACATGTTACATTTTGATTTTTCGCAATAAAAATTTTCGCTTACAGAAAAAAACACTTTTTATCGTTCATCGAGGTTGACGCAAGTTCTGAAACAGCTAATTGTATCCAATTGATTGAGCAGATCCAATTCATTTAAATAAATAGGAAAAATCAGAACTTCTTTAGTCAGGTATTGTTAATCGATCAACATGCACTGATAAAGTATAATAACCTCAAAATGACTTCATCCAGATAAATATTTGGTGAGGAATAATTAATGAACATCTCATTGGCCCTACATCATGGCACTGCCACATAAGTTCAGTAGTGTATGCAGTTAACTTAATCGTGATATTAATCTCTGGATTTGCAGAAATAGTCCAATCAATTAGTCTGCACCATCATCAGATCTTGCTTATCTGGCGAAGTATTTTTCTCTGTGGGATACTTAATGAGATTACTAATTTTTAAGTATTTTTAGATGTAAACTTTGAATCTACAATAAAAACTGTTGTTCTGATTTATGATTTCATAACTGTCTCTGCTCCTCTCTTATAATCTGAGGTGGAAAACATTAAAATACAGCAAGTTGCAAGTAATTTGACTCAAAATGTGACATATTTTGATTTTGTAATCACCTTTTCCAGGGAGATAAATACGCTACATCTTATATTTTGAAATTAGTACGTTCGCTTACAGAAAAAACACTTTTTATCGTTCATCGAGGTTGACGCAAGTTCTGAAACAGCTAATTGTATCCAATTGATTGAGCAGATCCAATTCATTTAAATAAATAGGAAAAATCAGAACTTCTTTAGTCAGGTATTGTTAATCGATTAACATGCTGATGGAGTGTAGTAATCTCAAAGTGACTTCATCAAGATAACCATTTGGTGTCAACGTTTGTTGAGTGAACATCTCATTGGCCCTACATCATGAAACTGCCAAATAAGGTCAGTAGTACCTATATGCAATTAACTTCATCGTGATATTAATCTCTGGAGTGACAGAAATAGTCCAATCAATTGGTCTGCACCATCATCAGATCTTGGTTATTTGGAAAAGTATTTTTCTTTGTTTGATACTTAATTTTATATGTAACTGTCTCTGCTTTTCTCTTACAATCTAAGATGGTAAACATTTTTTCAAACTTTCTAAAGATTATAAATTTTTAGCTAAAAATCGCCAAATAACTTTTATAAGCTTTAAATTCTCGCTTTTGTTTGACATTTTCATCTTTTCACTTATTTTAATATAAAATATATTAGTGATTGTTAAAATTAATGATTACTTGAATAAATTCAACAATTTTACTAAGTGATAAAGGAAGTAGAATTTCATAATGATTACAGTACAGTTATACATTTCAGCTCTTTGATGATTTATGTACCATTTTGGACTGGTGTAATTAAGACACCGAGAAGCTCCGAAACTGGTAACAGACCAAACTTCTAATTAACATATGTAAACTTGGTACACTCGAAACGACGGATGCCTGAAGACGAGAAAACTTTTTAATTGTTACAAATTGCCCAAGTTAAATAACTGTGTAATTAGCTTTTCTGCGCGGAGGCAAGAGCGACCCTTATCTCGGATGAAATGTTACTTCTGGCGGATGATCTTGCAGCGTTTAATTATGGCTTCGATATCTTCTCTCTAACGAAATACACCGCTATTACCTAGCGGAGGGCGGACTTATCGATATTTGCAGATGTTAAAATCTGGATTGTGACGGAACGTTCTTGGATGTGTGTACTTTCGAACAACGTGTTCACAGTTCAATTGTGCAAATAACGCAGTCACCCCAGATTATGTTATTTTCACACAGCACAATGTTGGTATGGAACGTACAGAAGGACTGCAATGTTTACATTGCGATAAAGAACATGCAAATGAACACGAATAGAAACTCGGCCAATAGGACACCACACTTCAATCTTTGTACGATGCAGTTTTATTTTTTTTTAAATGTTAAAATATTCGTATGTAAATTTATTCGTTTCTTACATTGACTTTATTGATATCTAAAAGTATGTTTTATGTAAATAAATAGGTAAAATATTTGTTATTTATTTTTTTAATTAAAATCTTTGATTGAAATAAAATAAAAATCTTTCCTGTCATTTCGGGTGATTGTAAATGGAAAGAGGATCTCCGAGTTGGAAGGGTTGTTGGAAAAATTCTATTATTGCTCGAAATCGACGTTATCGAAGTCACAAAGAGACAATGAGACGGTCGGGTGACAGCGAAAGGGTTACAGAGTAAAAAAGGAGGTGGAGGAAAACGGAGAAAAAGTCCGTCAAAGGGGGGATTCTGTAGAATAGACTAACGCAATAGCTGAGTGGTCTTTAGAGTGCATTCAGTGAAAATGCCGGCCAATTCCCGCACAATGAACAGAATCATACCGGATTCGGTCCGAGTCTGCTTCATCGGGAGGAAAGAAATTTGATTTACTCCGTGATGTGATGCCTTGAACGATTGTTCTTTATTTATCTATATATACTTTTATCGATTTTTTTTTTGTGAAAAGATTTTTTTTAATAAACCGTGAATTTATCTTTAACTTTTATTAAGGTTTCTCAACACCCTTGATAGTTTCCCATTTTTATGAACCCCACTTCGCCGGAGCAACGAATAGAAAGCAGAACAACCTCAAAATCGTCGCTTGAAAGGAAGCGAGTGGCCACTACGTCACTTGATAGCCATCTTGTATTTCCTCTTGCTGACCAAAAGACTCTCATATATTCTTCCATCGGGTGGACATTTATCTAA